AGGGAGGGAGGGAAGGAATGAAGGAAGGGAAGGAGGGAGGGAGGGACGAAGGAAGGAAGGAAGGAAGAACAAATTTGGAGAGGGAATGTGTTTGAGAAAATAAATACTTGATTTAGCAAGAGTAATACAATAACTTTCCTCAGTTAACATACTATTAATTTTTTCCAGACAGCAAAAATTTAGAGAGCGCTCACAATTTTCGAGATACTGTGTCAGGCACTGGAAGCTGTTTCTATTTGCAACAACACTGCACTTTAGTAGTTCACTGAAATAGATGTGTTATTCAACAGGAATTAAAAAAATATATTATGTTCATCTAGTATTTTGTTCCCAAGTTTAATCTTCATTTCGATTACCAAAACTTTTTAGCTATATGTTTTAATAATTGTATTTTATTTATTTTGTCTTTTTTAAAAGATGCTTATGCTATCAGATCAGAAATTTTTTGACTAATTCAATATTTTAATTTTGAGTTCAAATTGTACACAATAATCCATTATACATGTTTATAATCCTCCCGTTTCTACCACTTTTGCCCGTGTTCTTTTAATACGCAGGATGTTAGTCACATGTCTTTGAACTTCACTTGTCCCCAAGCTTCTTTTTATATATATATCTGTGAAAATGGACTAAAATATATTTAACTGGCATCAATTACCTGTATAAGTGGTCTGTGACTCTTAACTGGATTTTTTCCCATTAACTATCATTTACCTTCAGGGCCATATTAATTACATTCTAAAATATTTATTCCTGTAACCTATGCTATATTTCATAGATAAACTCATTATTTAGCTACAAGGAATAGGTAGTGGAGGATCAGACATATTAATAGCACTTAAAGTTTTAGGGCAAATTTTTCAGGATATCTTTTTGTGTTCCACCTTTGTTCTCCCTGCTCTAATTATGCCATAGAGATCAGTAATTTAGTATAAGTGGGAATCACCTAATTAACTTTTAATTAGCACGCTCTATATTTCATCATCTTTGGCTACTTAAACCAGGGGAGAAAATTTGAAAACAAAATACAGCTCTGGGAGAAATCTCAAGCTTTTCAAATATATGTAATTAAATGAAATGCCATCTTTCTTTAGTTTCAAGGATTTTAATCTGTAAAACCAAAAATATTCTAATCAGTTCTTTTTTTTTTTTGCTTTTCTTTCTTTTTTTTTTTATTTAAATAAATGTACAAATATATGTAATTAAATGAAAAGATAAATTCTTCTCTCCTGGATAATTCAATTTACAAATTCAAACAGTTATTGAGCACCTATGTATGGATGGTCTACATTAAGTGCTGGGAATATGAAAATGATTAAGTTACAATCCTTGTCCTCAAGTAGCTTATAGCCTAGTTGAGAAGATAAACCAACAATTACAGTGTGCTTGTTAAGGACTCAGAAAAAAGGGCAGACAGGGTGCTGTGAGTGCATATAGGAAGACAATCTAATCTAAAATGATGATAAGAGCCAATGATTCTTCAAGGAGGTACTGAACACCAAAAGGAAAAAATAACAGTACCACCCATAGTTAGCAGAATCCAAACTGAATTAAAAGAGCAACTTCAATTTATTGGGGGGGGGGGGTGAAAACTGTGTTTTTCCACACCACAGTTTGGTATCTATTAACTCTCAAATAACAATTAGACCATTTTTCAATGGAAAAGAACTTAATTTCACTGTGGCAGTATAGCATTCACAACTACTTTTTAATACAATTTTAAAACCAAAGAAAAAATTGCACCCAAAACACGTCTACCTAATATTTACAAGAGCTCTCTGCAAAGCTGCATAAACTAAAGTCTTCCTCAAAATTCCAGGATAAAAATCTCATCTGGTCCAAGAAAATGACAACCTGGAGAACCGGCAGCCCAGGAAGGA